TTTCCTCTGAGCAGTAGCAACTGTCATTCTACTGTCTATCTTTATGAATTCTAATTTTACTCCAGGTACCTTATGTAAAGGAATCATATTGTATTTATTCTTTGGTAACTTTATTTTACTTAACATAATGTCTTTAAAGGTTAACACATGTAGCATGTGTCAGAAGTTCCTTTGATTTGAAGGCTAAATAATGTTCAATTGCATGTATGTGTATATATGTATATGTGTGTATCTATATGTATATACACACACACAGACATATCACAATGTGTTTATCCATTTATAAGTTGATGGACATTTGGGTTTGGTCCTCCCACTACTGAGCTATTATGAATAATGCTGTTATTAATATAGAGGGATTATTTAAATGTACAAAACCTTCAATTTAAATCAGAAAATCCTACAGAAAGAAATTAAAGAAAGTCTAAGTATATATATGTGTGTGTGTGTATATTTTTTTTAGTCTGAAGACTAATTGATTTGCATAGACTTGCATAGATTAATTTGTATTCACCTAAATTCATGCTGAAAACCTAAACTGCACTCTGGAAATAGGTCCACTAAGGAGGCAATTCAAATTAAATAAGTTCATAAGGGTGAGGCATTCTATATGAATGGTGCCTTTATAAGAGAGAGAGATTCAAGAACTCCCTGGTGGCCACCTACATGTATAAACTAAGGAAAGAAAGTATGAAAATTCAAATGATCTTGAATATTCAAAGAATTTTCAAAAAGAATAAGTCACAGGATTTGCATTCCCCAAATTTAAGAGTTACTGCAGATCTGTAGTATTCAAAGGCATGTGACATTGGCATCAGGAGAGACAGGTAGGTCAATGAAACAAAATGTCGAGTACAGAAAGGGACTGGTCAACTGATTTTCAATGAAGATAAGAATAGTATTTTCAAGAAATGATGTTGAAACAGTTAGATAGCCATATGCTCCCCCAAACTGAACCTTAACCCACACCTCATATCACAGTATTAATTCAAAATGGATCATAGGCCTAAACATAAGAAATAAAACCATGAAACAGCCATAAAAAATAGAAAAAATTCTTTGAGTTCCTGGGGTAAGGTTTCTTAGATTAAAAAACAAAATCATAAACCATAAATAAAAAATTTTAGAAACTGTAATTTATTAAAAGTGAAAGTCTACTTTTTGAAAGAATATTGAGAAATAAAAAGTCAACAAAAACACTACATGGAAATATTTTCAAAAGATGTATATAAATAAAAACTCATATTCGAAATCTAGAAAGCTCTCTTACCATTGAAAAATACCAAGAAAAACAACTAGATTTTTTTAATGGTCAAAGGATTTGAATATATAAAAAGATGTTCAACATCATTTGTCATTATAAAAAGGCAAATTAGAACCATAAGAAGATATCACTGCATGCTGACTAGAATGGCTAATATTAAAAAGACTTTAATATTAAAAATACCAGATCAGATAATGGTAAGGATAAGAAGCAACCTGGAACTCTCATAGATTGCTCATAGGAATATAAACTAGGAAAACTATGTACTCTGGAAAATGGTTTGGTTGTTCCATAAAATATCAAACATATACTTATTACTGTAAATAGCCTAGCTATTCCTCTCCTAGGTATTTACCCATGAGAAATGAAATCATACACCCACAGAAAGACTCGGACATGAACATTCATAGTCCATAAACAGGTGAATGGATAATCAAATTATGGTAACACATCCATGTGATACTTAGCAATAAAGGGAATGAACTACAGATACATGTAACAGCCTGAGCAGATCTCAGAACATTATGATGCGTGATAAATGCCAGATACAAAGAGAGCACATACTGTATGATTCCATTACACATAAACATAGTTTATAGTGACAGAAAGCTGATTGGTATTTGCCTAGGGTGGGGCTGTGGGAAGGAGGACTGATAAGAAATAAAAGGAAATGTAGGGTTCTGTGTCTTGACTGTGGGTACAAAGGCATATAAATTTATTTAGGTTTGACCTGGAGTTAAAAACCTCCTACCGATTTGCACCAGGGGAATAAACTGGGCCCCCCAGTTGCAGCTAAGAGGCAATTCTCTGCCAGCCTGCTGATGAATGACAAGAATTAACAACCACACAGATCTCTACCTGGGTACTACTACTCTGCATTACTAGACTTCTGATCTTGTCAGTGTTACTTAGCCACCCTGAGCCTCATCTATAAAATAGGTTCCACTATTTCAGAGGGTTGTTTGCAGATTACATAAAATATTGTTTTGTGTAATAATCACTCTACATCGTTACAATTGTCACCTTCATCATCGTTATATTTAAGTTGTCGATCAGCCTTAAGACAAGTTATTACTTTCCCTGAGGGAAGTCACAGAAACTGTTTGCCCCTCAGCCTTGCAACAGGCGTATTTCATTGTTCAGGACAACAGCTCACTTAACTTCTATGTATCTCCAGAAATATTGTGGCAGTAAGCTATTCAGAGGCTTTGTCCATTAGGCTGGACCATTTTCATTTTCCTTGCTTATCTAGGCTTTCCTTTTTCCAGCTGCTTTGATTTTCTAAAAGCGGAGCAAATAGACCTGAAAAAATGCCTGCAGATAATATTTTGTACACTGACAGCAATGAGATAGTAGTGTCAGTTACCTGAAAAGTTAACAGACATATTTTTTTTGTGACCCGTAACCCATCAGCATAGAGCTGACATGCTGTGCTCGTTTGGGTCACAGTCAGTAGACAGGGAGCTTTTCAGGAAATTCAGCACATAGCATCATCATTCCAAATGATCATTACGCCTATCATAAGTGTTTTTCTGAAACCCTGACCATAACAGAATCATTCTCACTCTCCAAATTATGAAGGAATTGCAAGTTTTATCAGGTAACTTTTGTTATTTGCTTCTTATATCTCATAAGCTTGAGTTGGCCACACTTGGGTGTCAACTTCCCTCTATCGGGCTAATGAGGCTCTCCCCCCATCATCCTATTTAAAGTGCTGTTGTAAAGAAAATCAATGGTTTCCATGTTGCCAAATTCACTGATCCTTTCTTTCCCTTAAACTGCCCTCCCTCAGTGGCATTCAAAATTATTGCCTGCTCCTGGCTCCTTTGGGGTACTTTCTTCTTGTGGCTCGTAGGGACACCAACCACATTCTTCTAGTTTTCTACCTGCAACACTGGCCACTGCTTCCCAGTCTTTTTCACTAGGTCTCTATATGTTGGGGTGTTGTAGGGCCCCTTCCCGGGACACCAGCTTCTCTCTAGCCGCACCCCTTGACTTTAGTTAGCATTTGGAGAACTCAAAATTTGAATCTCCAGCCCTGACTTCTCTAAGAATGCCTAACTCATGGTGTCTCTCTTTGTCAGAACACCACGAGAATTTCTAAAACAGAACTCTTCATATTTCCTCGCAGGCCTGGTCCCTCCCCAACACCCCTAGTTAGTCTACTTATGTGAATAAATAGCATCACCACCCATACGGCGGCTCAAAATTCTAGAACTCATGACTGTTCCCTCTCTTTCCCCATCACTCACCCTCAATGTCCAATCCTATTGGATCTCCCTCCAAAGTAGATCCCCCAAATTCCATCATTTCTCCTTCCATCCTCCCAGCCAACAGTACCCCTCATCTGTACAACTTTAGCAGCTCCCAACTGGCCTCCCCACTTCTGACATTCTATTCCACACAGACTACACAGGGTAATCTCCATAAACCATGAATCAAACCATGTTTAAAACTTTCAGGGCCTTCCCAGCACACCACAGTTAAAATCCAAGCTCCTCACCCAGGCCATCAGGCCCCGTGTGATCTGTCCACCTCCCTAGCTTCTCTCTTGCTGTTTACCTCTTACTTATTCTAGCCATGTTGGCTTTATTCCTGTTTCCTAACCAGGTCACCTTCATTCCTGCCTCAGGGCTCTTATGTGTATTATTTCCTCTGCCTAAAATTCACCTCTTATGCAAACAATGGAATGAGAAGACCTCACCTTATGAGAAGATGAACGAGAGTCCGAAAGGAGGTAAGATGGCATACACCCAAAGCTGGGTAGGGCATAAGCAGAAAGTCCAGAGCTTCCCCGTTCTCCTCAGAGGAAACCTGGGGCATGAGTGAGACGAGGGTGGAAGGTCCGGCAGCTGCTCTGTGTCCAGTGTGTGATGCCAGGTATGGGGAGTTGAGAAGATGCTAACGGCCCTGATGAGGTGGACGTCAGGGGAGATCTAGACCGTTCCTGGGAGATATGTAAGAATCACGGAGGAAAAAGGGGCTCCAGAAAAGATGTAGGATATGAAAGGAGAGAAGACAAAGGGAGATTGAGACTTTGAATGGTGAGGAACTAGACCACTTTCTTTGTAAGGAGGAGGTACAGACTGGAATGGCTTATTATTCTTTGGCCTTTGGGGTCCCAGGAGTTGCTCAAGGGGGAGATCTAGTTTTTGTACTTTACCTTGAACTGGAAAACAAAAAATAGGTATCCAGTTCCATAAATTTTATGGTTGTGAGAACACAAAAGAGAGAGAAACAGAAAAAGAAAACATTCAGGGCATTAGGTAGGGGCCCGGGCTCCTGAAGTCTGTGTAAACGAGGAGAGAAGGGGGTTTGGAGAGGAGTGGATCTTGGAGGTCTCCCATCTTCACACAAGGCAAGTTCTCCTTGCCCAGCTGTTTGCATGTGGTTCGTGCAAGAAGGGCCCAGGGCCGGGTTCCACACTGCCAGGGACTCCCACTCTGCCTCACAGAGCCTCCTCAGGCCCTGACATGCATGTGTGTGACACAGGCCCTTTTTTGGGCTGTGCTTCTTCCCAGAAAAAACAAAGTTGGCATCTGATTGTAGTTTAGAGTCACCTCACACCAGCCGTACTGTTGTAAACATATGTGTTTTCTTATTCAGCCCTGCCTCCCAGCTGCTCCGTGGTGAAAACTAGGGCAGTGTACACCCCTGCCTCCCATCCACCTACTCTGCCCCATAAAGCAATCTGCTATTGTTCTAATAGCAGATTCCCCCAGGGAAGCCCCCCAACCTGCTGCCCTGGGGCCTGTGCTGATCTGTCCCAAGAACAACAGCTAAAGGCATCCTCTTGAGGTGTTTTTGGCATTGGACAGCCCTTCCTTGGTTATTATGGTTGGAAACATGGAAGTTTCTAGATGTATCATTAAAGATGATATTTCCATTGTTCTCTTATTGTTTGGCAGGAGTTTTGGTGAGGGGAACTTCTAAGAAAAAAATTGACCAAGACTTCTCAATTCCACTATCTTAAAATTACATCAAGGAGAAAATCTTAAGGGGTCTTGAAAAGAGAAAGGAGAACAGTCCCAGAGACTCCTGAATGGTCGCTGTTTAGACTCTTTCCTAAGCATCTCAGCAAAAGACTCAGTTTGTCCAGAATCTAGATGATGTCTGATGTATGATGGACATCCACGCAGCTCTGACCCTGTGTGATGGACATCCACACAGCTCTGACCTTGGCAGTCTTCCCAGGGCCGTAAACTTCAGGCTTCCAGAGCTCTACAGTCCCCATACCCTTTACCCTTGGGACCTCCTGGGGCCTCCCTGGCCTGGATTCCAGCACAGCCCTTGTTCTGGGACAATTCACTGCTCCAGAAAAAAACAAACCAAAAAAAGACATTCTTGTGAAAAGACTTCGGTAAAATACATTAATAAATTCAGTTTATCTACCATACCTAGATTTTTACTCACCAAAGAGTTTTAAAATCTGCCATATAATTTTAGCCTCAATGGTAAAACTGAGAAGGTGAACCTGGATATCCTAGGTGGAAAATGTCAACCAACTTTTTCCTAAACAACCAGACACCTCCTGGGCAAAAATCCACCTCTGTCACAATGACAACTCAGAAAGCAGCCAGCAAACAAAACGGTGTGGATGAGTTTCAAGAAAATCTATTCTTTAAAACAGGTGGCCAGCCCACAGGCCATAATTCTAAGGTCCAGAAAATTCACACAAGTTGGTTTTCTCATTATTTTATAAAATAAAGATGTTGCAGGACAGGAAGATTTAGCACAGCCAGCTGACAGACACAGCGTCTGTATAGGGGCTGAGAACAAGTCTCTGTGTTATGACTCAGGACAAGTTATTTAACCTCAGTTTCATTTGCTTCATTTGTAACACCTAAATAAAAGTAGCTAATCCATAGTGGGCACTGCATGTGTTATACCATCCTCCAATAGGTCCATTTGACCATATTAACACTTTTACAGAAAAATGCATGAAAGTCTAAGCCCCTCTCTCTGTTGGATTACTATGTCATTTCTTCACTGTTCTCTTTTGTCCTTTAAAGTCTATTGTCAATGTGGGAGTCAGAGAGAACCCAATTAAACAAGAGTCAGATCACATCACCCCAGCTCCCAACCTTCTATGGTTTAGTTTCTTATTCAGAGTGGCCATCAAACCCCTCCAGTGGTAGTTAGGCCTTATGTAAGCCCTCCTTCTCCCCCAAACCAGTCCCCCCTTCCCAGGGGGGAGAGACCAGCCCTCGTCTCTTCCTACCCTTCCCCCTCTCACTCTGGCCACCTCAGGGCCTTTGCACTGGCTCCTTCCTCTGCCTAAAATGTTCTGCCCTACATATTCATGGGGTTCTTTTGCTCAGCTCCTTTGGAAACTAGTTTAAAGGTCACCTTCTTAGGGAGACTTTTTACCAGCCCCCAATTTAAATTTAGAGTCCTTCTCCGTTCTGTCCCAAACCCCCATTCCCCTTCTCTAATTCTTCATATCCTTCAATACAATTTACATCTCCCAATAGACCATATAATTTATTTACTTACTTTGTAAGGAAGGAAGGAAGGAAGGAAGGAAGGAAGGAAGGAAGGAAGGAAAGAAAGAAAGAAAGAAAAATAGTATTCCCTCCATTCTAAAATTTAAACTCCAAAGGGGTAAGGATTTTTGTCTATTTTTGCTGTTTTATTCCCTAAACTAAAAACAGTGCTGGATATCCCTCAGTCCCTCACTGATCTCTGACGAAATCACATAACTTGTGCCAGGTCTGACAACAGGAAATTCCATCACAATATACCTATGTCATGAAAACCATTAAAGAGTATGTGCTATTTTATTTTTAATAGAAGGGCTTGTTATAAAAACTTAAGGCCAATAATAATTACTTGCATGATGACAATTCGCAAAGTAACACAATGGCAAACAAATGAAAAATATTTCCCCCAACAATAATAATACTCCAATTGGCAAGCACTGTGAAGAAACACTAATATGAAAACATTCTCAAAACATGTTAGGATATGCTTTTATCTCATAATTACACTTCAAGTAACTTGTCCAAAAAAAAAAAAAAAAAAAAAACCAGAATGAAGACAACCATATAAAAAGATGCCAATTGCAGCATTATTTAAAATAGTGTAAAATGCACAAAATCTAACTGCCAGTAATGCAAGAGTAGCTAAAGCAATTCTGACTTCCTCCCCAGGGCCACCTACTCTTCCCATTCCTTGAAGACACTGTGCCTGAAGCACCTCTGTCCCATATTACTCTTCTCTTCTAATTTCAGAAAGCATTATGTTCTCTGCTTTTATACCATTTAACACATTTATAATTAAGTATTTGTTTTGTGCTTATTTTGTATTGTCCATTCCAATCATCAGACTATAAGTTGCATGAAGGGAGGAGTTCTCTGTGCTTTTTCATGTGCTGGTCCTCAATCTATAACTCCTGGCACATGATAAGCATCCAAAATTTGTTGAGTAAATGAATGCACAAACAAAAAGTTTTATTCCACTGAAATATTTCTGAAAAAATGTTATGGCATAGAAAATGCTCATAATATGATATTCATGGGAAAAAATGAAATTCACACTGCATTATTAATATTTCAACAATGGATATGAAAAAAAAGACAGTGAAAGAAAGTAGTCCATAATATGAATTAGGTGTTAAAAAATACAAATGTTATTTGTTTCTTCTTCATATTTGTCTATATTCTAATTTTTTTGCATGTATTATTTCCATAATAAAATAATGTGTAAGTCCTGGGAGGAAGTCCAGGAAGGAAGGACTTTACCTTACTACTTTACCTTACAAATGTAAACAGTGTAACCTAATTGTATCATGTTAATCTGAACTTTAAAAGAAGAAAATAGTAAATAAATTAAGTTGTGCTGGAACATGGGCCCACCTGTCCATTCACGTATTGCCCACGGCTGCTTTCATCTACAGAGGCAGAGCTGAGTAGCTATGGCTCTCACCCTTTATGATCTGTAAACTCTCTAAGGTATTTGCTATCTGGCCCTTAACAGAAAACACCTCTGAGGTCTGGTCTACAGAAAGTCTTAGAGAAGGAAGAAATTGCAAGAAGCCAAGTGGGGGTAACAAGGGCCACTGTTTGAAGGGTGACAGTTGCAGACAGATGAGTTTTCACAAATGTCTGTATCTACAGACAGATGGAAGAACAGAAAAAGGTTTCTCTTACAGGATGAGGCAGTTCCCACCAGGTTACACAATTACTAGATACATGTACAGCAGGAAAAGCCTTGAACCGGTTACCTGAAGGATCAGAATTGTAGAGACTGGCAGCTGTTGTTATGGGTCCTGGTGGGTGGATGGCACTCGCTGAAGACCTCTGACTTGCGATCAGAATCCTGCTCTTTGCAGATGGTAAACGGGACATTGCCCCCAGGCCCAACTGGGGTTTAAGGAGCATGGCCGACCGATAGAAAGTTGGAGGGACTTCGTAGTGAGCATAGGGAGGAGAACAAAATTCTTCTTTTCCAGGGTGGTCTGTAACCTATGGTAAATGATCCAAAAACTCAGTCAGAGAACTGTGTATCATAATATGAATCCTAAACAAGGTCAGGAGACTAAAACAATGACCCTGTCGACACCACTGAGTTGCTTCATCACCCATCACTCACCTTCTCTGGGCCCGGTGTCCTCACCTCTAGTTACTCATCTCCAAACCCAACTGGATGATCTTCCAGGTCCCTTACAATTCTAATACTCTATGGATATATATTTACTAGGCAAAAAGAAAACTCCTTCTGTGAGATTTTTTAAATTGCACTGTTACAGAGTCATTGGAATCTGCTTAAGATGGCAATGGATAAATAATCAATGTCAACAAAGCAGAGAAAGAATTTGGTAAGTGTTAAAAAAAATTATGAATGTTTTTATCACACTTGTGGGGAAAAAGCACAATTTTTATAACAGCTTAGTCTTACAATAAGTAGATGAACTTGACCAATTTCTATTGAGTCATTACTAGGTAGGCCACTTGGGAAATAAATTAGCCTTGCTCAGAAGGGAGAAAAGGCTATATGGGAAAATAGAGAGTTTAATAGAAATGGGTTTTCAGGCCTCTGTCATATTTTTACATAATTAAAAAACAAAGCCTGAATTACCTTCTGTCACTGTCTTCCCTGTGAGGTGTTGCTCCCAGGAACATTTGAGTAAGTTTCACCAGAATGGAAGTTCTAGGTCAGAGTCTTGTCAACTGCTGACGTCAAAGCACCTAAAATAGTGTCTAACCCCAGGCTGAAGCCAATAAATACTAATGATAAAAATACTTTACATTCTTTCTCAGCATAATAACACAATGTTACTGTTACTTTCTCCTGTAGTTAACAGTCTAGAATACAACTTGTGGATACCTTTTTCTATCCACAGTTCTGTACTCACAAAGCGTTCCTACTGTTAGTGTTTCTTCATATTAAACATGGAAGAAGAGAAAGAACCGAATTATCTATTTCCTTTTAGTTACAATAAAAGATAGTGCTAAGAGCTATGCATGAAAAGATACATCTGTTCATTAACTCTGTTCTAAATCACTAGACATTTTATGCATCGAATTCACATCTCTTCAAGGATCATAAGCACTTAACAATATTTTTAGTAGTGGCTACAAAAGCTTTGATTCAGGCTGTTGAAAAGATAAACCCTCAAATTAATATTCCCTTAATGTTGAAACGAATACAAAGTTCTCCTGAAAACTGACATTATAGAAACAGGAAAATAGGCCTTTAAAGTTTGATCATAATCACACTGTAAAATATGCATGATTGTTAAGTAGATAGATTGTATTCAGGCCATGGAAAATTATATTCCGGTGAAAGAACATTCCACATCTGTGCTCTGATAAAATTTTTATCACTCCTTATTTACTATTTCCCGATCAATCTCTAGTTTTTCTCTCATGCTTGTATACCCCTACCCTATTTTATTTTGGCTTCTATTTTTTTGATGTCATCGCTCATTGTTTTGAGCGGGTGCTTTTATGAAAAAATTACTATCATTCCCAACCTATGTCTACTGGGTGTTTAGGATTGCAATCTGCTGATCCCAGTAATGATTCAGTTCTTTGGAACCAGATAGCTTTCTGAGGTCAAAACCACCACCCTCTCAACTCAAAAATGATCTTAAGGATTTCAGTAACTTCAATGCCTGTCATTTTGGTGGGTAATTTGTTCCTGGTAAGATAACAAATTCTTTAAAAAGGTGACAACTATGCCTCTGATGCCTCCTTTGTGCATTTTTAAGTAAACAAGGGAATCTACAAAGAGCTTCACACTCTTTTCTTTCAGTTTCACTGACAGAACACAACCAAAGCTGCTCAGTCAGCAACACACAGAGATCAGCCCCGAATGTCCTTGTTTTCCCCTCCTTCTCTAAAAAGGATGTTTTAGAAAAGTAATTTTGAAGGCATAAAAAGCATCCTACGATTTCAAGCAAAGTCAAGGTGCACAAACAACTTCTTGTTGGACTGCCCCTCTTCCTATATGCCCTGTCCTGTTTTTACTGAGATGGTGAGACAGAGGCTCAGGGTGAAGGCTGGCTTCACTAGGAAGCCACTGCAATAGCAGCAGGGGAGGGGGACTGGGATGCTTAATTTTATGTGTCATCTTGGCTGGGCCACAGTACCCAGATATTAGGTCAAACATTACTCTAGATGTGGCTGTGAAGGTATTTTTTTAAAGATAAGATTAACATTTAAATCAGTAGACCTTGAATACAGCAGATAACTCACTCAACATAAGTGGGCCCCATCCAATCAATCAAGGGCCTTAATAAAAACAGACTGACTTCTCCTGAAGAAGAGAGAATTGCTAGTAGATGACCTTTGCACTCTAAATGCACCACCAACTCTTTCCTGAGTCTCTGGACTGCAGGCCTGCCCTGAAAATCACATGGGCCAACTCAGTCAATCTCTATTAGAGACACAAGAATGTGTGTATATATACAGACAGCTCTCTCTCTCTCTCTCTCTCTCTCTTTCTCTCCCTCTCACACACACACCCCTTTCTCCCACTAGTCCCATTTCTCTGGAGAGCCCTCACTGCTGCAGTGCGTTCAGAGAAGAGGTGGCCACAGGGAGTGGGAGGAGCGGCAGTGCTGAATCACACAGCTGTATACTGTCCTCTCAACCTGCCCCCTTCATTGTCCTCCTTTCACCAAAACCGAGAAGTGCTCCCACGGTGTCAGTGGGAGGGAGTGTCCCTGAGACCTCAGGAGAGCCAGAAGCAGAGAGCAGTCTAAAAAACTGAGCATGTTTTATCACTGTGGCAGGACTAGATCCCAAAGGATCTCAGAAGCCACTTTTGGGAGCTTTAAAAGTCCGTATTGTTCCTGCCAACTAAAGAGAGACTTTAGTTGTTCTTTTTTTTTTTTTTTTTTTGAAGTTTTTGGCCAGGGCTGGGTTTGAACCCACCACCTCTGGCATATGGGGCCAGCATCCCTACTCCTTTGAGCCACAGGTGCTGCCCGGAGCTCTTGTTCTTGATTTCTCTGTCTCCAGCCATGCTCTCTAACCAGCAGAGATCTGTTAATAATGATGGAAGAGTCTGAAGCTGCTTTGGTTTTTACCTTCTAAGACTCTCCTGCTTTGATTTTGGTTGCAATCAATCAGAAATGGGTTCTTTTCCTGGAGCATGAATGGAGCTACCCTGTAGTGAGTTAGGGGCTCAGGGGCAGAGAAGGGTGGCTTTCAGATCTCCTTGCTCTGAGCCTGAACACAGGACAGGGACTCACTGGGTCACACCAGATTACAGCCACAGGAGCCCATGGCCAAGAATAAGCCTGTCTCCCACTTTTGGTTAAATAAGGTTGCCACAGAAATGAGCCCAGCTCGACACCCAGGACGTCCTGCTCTGCCCTGCAGCCTGGAGAACGAGTTTGGTCTTCTTAGATAATGGCAGAGAACGGTCCTGAGATGCAGGGCCTAGTGCCTGGTGCAAGGCTATGGTGTTCTCACTACATCAGTGGAGTCTCTCTGAACTCGTCAGACCCTCTAAAACCACACAATGTTGATTCAATCTCATTTCCTTGAGTCTGGAGTTAGCTTCTAGATAATGAAGTAGAGAAAATAGTGTTTGGAAAAATATACATATTATATAGAAATTATTCCTGGAGGGAATAGAAACAACATAGAGAAAGGAATATGCAAAAGAAAAATAAAGAAGGTCATGCAGAAAGAACTACAGACAATAACAGGATTTTTCCATGCATCTCCAGTCAAGTTTCCCTCATGGGTGTTTCTTTGTGGAGAAAAATCTGGGGTTTCTTCACAGCAATCCACAGTGACACTCCACAGTGACACTCTGAGAAGGGGAAGGTTTAGTCATGCAGCTCCTCAGGTTTGGTGACTGCACTCCTGGGAGCATCAGCCCTTGTGACAGTGCCCTTGTCTTACAGAAGAGCCCAGAACAGAGTCTGCCCCTGAACCCCAGGGGCCCAGGGAGATAACTGTTTAGAAATTTGAGAATGACGCACCACAACCAAACTCAGAGACTGAGGTATAAATCCAGAAGGGCCATGTGTCCACTGTCACTGAGAGACCACTGCCTGGAGCCAGACCTGACTGTCCTCTGCCCTCATGCTCTCCCTGCAAGGCACGTGTGGGAAGCCGCTTGTAAACAGGACGCCTTGCAGTCCCCTGCCGAAGAGATGGAGACCTCAACTCTCCCATCAGCGTCCTCTCTCCAGGGATGTGACAGAGAAGCCACTTACAATCAGAGGGTTGCTGACAGCCCCAGCATCGAGTCCTCTAATTCAGCCCCAGGGCAGCAGAGGGGTGTGGGCTGGTTGGTTGCCCAGGTCAGTGTCTGCAGCAGAGACTGGATTCCCCTTTCCTCCCTCTGTGCTAGATCTGACAGTTTCTTCTTTGAACCTGTGAATACATTCAAGCAAGCTGCAGTCCAACATGGGACTCACTCATTCTCTCTAGAAACCCTTGGTCTGCTTTCGTTTGGTTCCAACACATACAGAGTTCATGATTCAGCTATCACTCAACATTTCTGAGCCCATGTCTGTGACGAGCATGTTATAAACTCAGGGGCCACAGCTGGGAGCAAAAAACTAAAAAGAAGCTGCATTCTCGTGTGACTTTACTTTCCATTCAGTGCAGGAAAACCAAAAACGTGTATATGCTGGTGGAGATAAGTGCTAGGAAGAAAAAGCCACAGAAAAGGACCTCAGAGGGAAGATGTGTGGACAGGAGTGTTGATCTAAAGAGAGTGAGGGAGAGAGCCATTTGGATAACTGGTAGAACATTCCAGCAGAGGGAGAGAGAGTGGACGGAGAGGAGGGTGGGCTGGTACTGAAGCCGCGCGGAGAATATCCTAAAGGCGCGTCTACCCACAGGCTCCGGTTTATGTCCTCAGTGACCTGGGAAGCCCCAGTCCAGCTCTCCTTTCAACTAAGCACCCCAGTTGCCATGAAGAGTTTCCTTCAGGAACAAACCTGAGTTCTGAATTCCCAGAGAACTGACTGGCCACAGCACTCTGGCCCTGACAGGGACTGCACAGTACAGAATCGCACGGGTCTGAGTGGGAATCTCACTGCTCTCCCTGTTTTGTGGCCTTGGGTGTATGACGTAAAGTTCTCCAAGTCCAGACCAGTGATTTTCAACCTGTGTGCGGTGAAAATTTTTAAAGATCATTCATTTAAATGTTTTTGAAAGCAGTTCAAAGCATAGTAAGTATATTCTCTTTTTCATTCTTTTTTTTTTTTTTTGATCAACATAATTTAAGTGTGCCATGGAAGTTGAACTATAGGTTCAAGTGTGCCTTGAGATAAATTAAAAAGTTTGAAAACACTGGGCTAGACAGTGACAAAGACTGCATTACCCACCTCCAGAGAAGTGCTGTAAAGAGTAGTGAACACTGACAGAGATTAACTGTTCTATTTGACGGGCCCAATGCACCAGAGGCACACGACTAAATCTTAGTTAAAATTGCCAGTGTTACTCTGACTTAAAAAAAGAGCTCATGCCTAATACATTACTTTCTGTTTATTCACCTCATTCTTCCATGAGTGAATATGAGATTCTCCCAAAATCAATATGAAAAATATACTTATTTTGAATTCTTTCTTCCTTTGACCTGGCTTGTAAAAGAATTGAGCTCACTTACTTATTTAAATGCATACTTATCTAAGTTCTTACGCAGTATAGCAAGTGAAAATTTAAATGAATCTTTAATGCTGGGTCCATTTCAGTAAGATCATCGAACTCTTCTACCTAAAAATGGCCATTTCTCTTCAAAATCTCCTTTACTTGAAACCATCCATTTCTCTTATAAGTGTGCCCATGAAAACGTGCAGTTTGCTTAGAGAGGACGTTTTGTTTTCACAATTCACTGAAAATATGTAACAGACTTTAGGACATTCAACTTATGGATCATATCACAATGGCATTCTCTTACCTCCTGCAAAAACTTTTCACTCATTTGACTGAAATGATGTCCTGGGGGCTTGATCCCAGACACCATCAATCCTGAACTGAAGACCCTGGGTTTCTGCAAGTCTGGTTTGAATTTCTCATAGAGGTTGGCAGATGGCTTAAGGTCCCCACTTGCCACCTTCTCCTCTGGAGGAAGAGGCATGCTACACGCGGGTGGCGCATACGGCAGCCCCACAGGAACCAGCGACGTGTCCACGTGGCCCAGGGCTTGCGGATTCCTTCTGATGTAGGTGATGATCTTGGGCCTCACATGCTTGGGCTTGGGCATAACGATGGGCTTGGTTTCTGTCCTCTCCTCCGCTTTCTCAGCCTGAAGGTTCTCCATTCCCTCCTGCGAGGGAGGTGCATCCTTGGAATGTGTGAAGACAGGTTTGGGGATCCCACTGGGGCAAGTGTTCTTGTCAGGCACTTTGGGGGACGTGTTCAGCAGTCGCACATTGTAGCGGGGGGCGGGGACCGCCGAGGGTGACCCTGCGCCTGCCTCACTGAACATGCTGACGTCCTGAAAATTGCTACTAGGTGTTGTAGGCTGGTGGCTTGTGTTCACAGTTGTCTCTGGGTGGAGGGGCTCTGGGACATTGAGAATGGAATCTGCTCTCACGGGGGCGCTTTCCATCTTAGCTGCATTTTCCAGAAAGTTCCTACTTTCAGCAACAAGTGTAGCGACACCTTCACTTTCTCCTGCTTCTGAGCTACTGCTCTGAAGGTGCCGGGGCCCATGGACCTCAGTTTTTCTCCCTTCAACAGAAGGATCTGAAGCCAAACCCAGAGCACTGTCCTCATTCCCACTGCCCTGTTGCTCTTCCTCCTCGGGGACCGCTGAGGGCTTGTTGTCAGTCGGATCACTAGGAATAAGAGTCATGTCACCTGGTAAAAAGTTGCTGAATGTCATTTCACCCAGCTTCCTACCTGCACATGGTGAAACTTTGTCAGAGGCCAGATTATCAGCCACTCCCAAGGAAGCAGGCTCCTGTCTGGGGGTGGTGTGGAGAGAATCCTCCTCCCCCGGGCTGGCTCCTGTCTTCTCCCCTTCATTGTTGCTTCTCCCCACCCCACGGTAGGGGCGGCTACCATTGCGCCGACACCCAGCCGTGCTGGTGGCTCCTTCGTGTGCCTCCACATGCGGCTCCTTTCTCTCTGGGCCTGCTGGACTCTCTTCCTCGTGGTCCCCCAGGTCCCCTTCCTGGGACTGTAACTCCGACACAGCCCTGGGGTGAACATGTTCCAGCTCTAGCTCGGGCTCTCTCTTTTCCTGACCTAATTGTGCTTCTGGCTTACTCAGGATTTCCTTTGATGCCAAAGTCAAATTCTGAGCAGGTGCCGGCTGGGTAGAATGTGATGTGTGCTCACAGCAAACGCCCAGGCCACGTCCCTCCTCCATCTGGGCCTCTGAGGGGGTGGTCTCCTTGGTTTCTGAGGTAGATGGTTTAGGAAGACTCACACTTGTTCCCTGTGAAGTACTGTCAGAGGGAGGGAAACCTGCCCCTAGAGAGGGGTCAGTCAGTGTCTTCTGTGGCCCCTCAGCCCCAGGCACAGGGCACCGTGCTTCTGGGGGACCCAGGGGAGCAGGCTGTGGGTGCTGCACAGTCAGGCTCCCAGCTGGAAGGGCACAGCCACTTGTTCTTTCCAAGGAATGCCTCCTCAGCTCCTCATTATCAAGGGTCTTTGCAAATTTGTCCTTGGGAACATGCCGGGGAATTTCAGCATCCCTTTTAGGCCAAACCTCTGGACTGGCCTCACCCATCACGTTCCTCCAGGTCAGCAGACTTGGCCCCTGAACACCCCGAGGGGACTGCAGGACACCTGTGCCTCTCTCCAGTGTGTGCTCTTCATTGCGTTCCCTAGGAACAGTTAAAGAAAGTCTAGACTCTTTCAGGCTGGTGGAGCCAGCTTGAGATTCCTTCCCAAAGCCCTGAAATTGGTGAAACTCCTTACGGAAATGAGTACGGTTTTCTGGCTCACTTGAATTTGCATTTCCAATTTCACCTACCAGGTCACATTCCTTAGACTCATCAAGAGAGGAGCTGACCCCCAGCATGATCTGGTTGGCATTTGTATCTCCCAGACTTAGGATACTCTCATTATTATTTTTGACTCCATTTCTGTTATCCTGCAACTGAGTGTAACATGATTTCTTAGGAGCCACTGGGATGCTCATTGTCAACCCTTCAGGGGGGGCTGCTTGCCATGCAGTCCTACTTATGGAAAGAGGCTGCCTGCAAGCTGCAGTTCCGTTAATAGGAAATTCTCAAGCTGCTTGTCTTCCTCTGACAATTCCACGTGGTGACACTGCTTTAATCATTTTCAGAACAGTTTGTCTTGCTATACCTCACGGTGACTTATCTGTTAGGTTCCTGCTGAATGAGAGCCAATTAGCCCATGAGACCTGGAGAGAAATAAAAATGCATTCATGTTAGATTGACACAAAGAGCTTCTCAGGAGGAAAAAAGCATGGTAAACACAGATTTAGTCATCACTTCTATATTATCATTTGCTTAATATTTTTCTAAAAAAGCTTTCAGATAGAGGCTCCTACTGGCCAAATAGGGAAAAATTGAAACATCAATATGATGGTTAGATTATAAATGCATATTAAATCTTAATTTTAAATTTTAAAAATCCTCAAGTTTACAGTGATACTGATTTAAAAGAGCAGAAGAGAAGGAAAGGCTCTTTTTCACAAGGGAATGTCAACTAGTGTAGAAAAAAATTACAGAACTTAAAAAATTACTGTTTTATAATCGCCAGAGCAATAATGATCTTGGGCAAGGGATGCCACAGTAAAATCATTGAATAAAAGATTATTGGGGAACAAGGTATCTGTAGAATCTTAAAAGTGTTGCTCCCGGATTATTTTATTACTTACAAAATGAACAATTTCTCTTTGCAATGGAGAAATCTGGTGAACACCACCTTACCCAATAGATCAAACTGAACATCACCCATAATGGGAACTGACATCATGTACTCCTGGTGTCACTAGTTCTCAGAGCCTCACATCACCTATGTCTATTCTTGCCATAAATGTTCACCCTCAATTTCATCAGAGGAATTTAAATTGAGAGAGATTTTACAGGATAACTACCCTAAATGACCCCCCTGCCAAAAGCCAATGGATCTAGGATTTTCAAAAACAAAATGTTGGCAAAGGACGTTCCTAGGACAATTAGAGATTTAAATACGGAATGTATGTTAGGTAAAAGTACTGTATACATATTAACTGTCTTGCTTGTATAACAGTACTAAGATGATACCAGAGATTGTCTTTGCTTTGAAAATGTACATGCTGTAGAATTTAGGGGTGGCATGACATGATTTCTGTAACTTAAATCTCAAATGAGTCAGCGAAGAAAAAAAAGTATGTGTGTGTGTCTGTGTTTGTGTCTGTGTGTGAGTTTACATGTGTATATATGAGAGAGAGAGAGAGGCAGAGGAGAGAGGGAGGGAAGGAGATGGAGGGAAAGAGATAAAGAGATAGATTTTGGTAAAAGGATAACCTTTTGAAAATCTAGGTTGATTACCCTATTCCATCTGCAATTTTTCTATAGGTCTGAAAGTAAGAAATTCTAGTCTTTGAGGTCCACATTCTCCAGCTCTGCACACCTTTCTGTCTCACATCTGCCTCTCACCTTCTGCTCTTGGCCACAGCACACTGGCCTCATGCCTCACAGTGCCAAGCTCCCTGTTTCCTGCTTCAGGGCCTTGCACGTAGTCTTTCTTCCATCTGCATGAAACGTAATGGAAATCCTCCCTCACCCTCACCCAACTAATCCCTTTGTATTCTTCAATCTGCTGTACAACCGCTACTTCCTCCAGGAAGCCTTCCAGACCTACTCGGTCCTCCTTTGATGAGTTTCATAATATCCTATATTTGTACTTTGCAAAATTAAAAATAAACACTTTCAGATATACTAGACAATGCAAATAGATACCATCTAATTCCTGGCATACATATTGTATTGGGCACTTAATATATACTTGTAGCATGAATGAATGACTGAATAAATGAATGAATGAGTGAACAATGAGGAAGATCAATGTTACTTCCACTCTCACAAAATGTAACAGAATCTGCATTTCACACTACTCACAAAAATTAATTCATGATGGATAACAGACTTAAACCTAAGACATGAAACTATAAGAATTCTAGAAGAAAATGCTGGAAAAACTCTTATAGATATCAGTCTATGCAAAGAATTCATGAAGAAGACTCCCAAAGCAATCACAGCAATAATGAAAACAAATAAATGGGACCTGATCAAATTGAAAAGTTCCTGCACAGCCAAGGACACAATCAAATAGAGCAAATAGACAACCCACAGAATGGGAGACAATATCCATCTGCCATACATCTGATGAAGGGCTGAATCTACACAGAACTCACGCCAAATCAGGAAGTAACAACCAAACTAATCCATTAAAAAGTGGGCAAAAGACATGAACAGAAACTTCAAATGTAAATATACTAATGGCTAACAAACTCGTAAAGAAATACTCAACATGTCTAGTCATCAGGGAAATGCAAATCAAAACCACAATGAGAAATCACCTAACTGCAGTAAGAATGGCTCTTACCACAAAGTCCAAAACAACAGCGGCTGGCACAGATGTAAAGAGAAAGGAACTCTTACACACTGTTGGTGAGACTGCAAACTAGTACAACCTCTATGGAAAGCAGTATGGAGAGAACTCAAAGAACTTAAAGTAGACCTACCATTGGACCCAGCAATCTCACCACGAGGTATTTAGCCAAAGGGAAAAAAAAAAGTTGTTTTATATAAAAGACATTTATACTTGACTATTAATAGCAGCATAATTCACAATTGGAAAGACACAGAAACAACTCAAGTGCCTACAAATACATGAGTGGATTAATAAAATGTGGTATATGCAGACCAAGGAGTACGACTCCGCCATTAAAAATGGTGATCTATTATCTTTTGTGACAACCTAGAGGGAACCGGAGACCATTGCTCTAAGTGAAATACCACAAGAATGGAAGAACAAACACCACATGGACTCAATACTGAACTGGAACTCATCCACCAACGCTGACGTGCACTAATGGAAGTGAAACTCAGTGAAGATCAAACAGGTGGGAGGCAGGGAGGGGCAAATTCACACCTGATGGGTATAATGTGCACTGTTGGGATGAAGGGCACACTTATAATAACTTTGACTCAATCTGTATGAAAACAAATTACATAACCCAAACGTGGGTACCCCTTAATATTCTGAAATAAAACATAAAACTAAAGATAAATAAAATCTAATACAGTATTTACTTTTCTACTAAAGTGGGTTCCCGGATCATCATTAAGCCATTTGATTCAAGGCTAACACTGTTTTATCCACATTATGAAGACATTTTATTAGGCACTGGGGACAAGGGAGTTTAATAGTAACAAGTTTCTGCCCCAGTGGACACCCATCGCACTTTCCTCTTCATCCCTCAGAAATGTATGAGCTCACACACACCCCCACGTTACATGGGAGGCTGCTGGTACCTTTAACTGAAAACAGTTCACATGGAAACCCACGTGTTTTCCCTCCATCACTGTGAGTATGTTACTGCACATGCTAAGGATTTGTTTATACATTATAAGGTGTAATAATAAAACAAACACCTGAGAAACCATCACCCAACCCCAAGACGATAGGACCAGAATCTTGCAGCTACTCACCGGAGCCTCCTCACCACAGCCCCCACCTTCCCAACTCAGCCCTTTACTAACACCCGCCTTGGGCATCTCTGAACATTCAGTTCATGGATCTCTCTTTTCCTTTCATTTCTTTGCATCTATACATGTATGTATATAAGGATGCCTTGTTTTGTTTTGTTTTGTTTTTTTTGAAATGTAGTCTCATTATGTCACCCTCAGTAGAGTGCGGTAGTGTCACAGCAACCTCAAACTCGTAGGCTTAAGAGATTCTCTTGCCTCAGCTTCCTGAGTAGCTAGGACCACTGGTGCCTGCCACAATGCCCAGCTATTTTTTTTTTACTTTTTGGTTGCTATTGTCATTGCTGTTTAGCTGGCTTGGGCCAGGCTTGAACCTGCCAGCTTTGGTGTATGTGGCCAGTGCCCTACTCACTGAGCAATAGGTATGGAGCCTAAGCATGCATATTTTACGTCAATAGGGTCCTGAAGGCTCTCTTCCCCATATCCTAAGACACATTAACATCCTGCTCACTCCATCTCCTTCCCCATGCTTGCGGGGGAAAAGACACACAGCTGTGCCTGTGTATACATGCTTTCCCTTGCCCACCACACCTCTCTCTGTTCTTTCCACAGCTCAGCGGGCTCATTCTCCCCACTCCCTCATACCTTTTCTCTTTCTCTATCTTCTGCTCCCAACACTGTCTTCAGTAAGCCAGTGGCACACCCTGGTGCAGCCTGAACCCAATGTAGCTGTCAATCAAGGTACCAATACCCTGCTTCCTGTGTATTCCTGACATAGAAGGGATTCTCAACAAACCTTCATTTTTCTTTGTTCAATTTCAAAAGTGTTTCTCTTAAAGATACACATGTTCTCTGAGCACAAGTACAAAAGGAATGCAGGCAAATCAATGAGACAGAAGAATGCTGTGCTCTCTGGACTGGCAAACAGGTATCCCAGAAGAGCACGAAATTCCACAGCTATGGGCCATCCACAAAAGGGAAGTGCCTCTAATTCTCTGTGGGCAGAAATATAAACACAAAGCCAAGAGCCCTCCTGGGTTGGAACTGTCAAGGCTGGAAGAGAAAAAGAAACTCTGCTCAGGAAACACACACACACATACACACATACGATTAAATTCAAATGGAAGGGGCAGAGGGGAATTGGTAAGCTCTCACCTAATGGACACAATGGAAGAATATACAGCACACCCCCCGGGGGGAAGGGCTCAACTACAACTTGAACTTTACCTAATTAATGCAACCAATAAAACCTAATCATTTGTACCCTCATATTAACTTGAATTTAAAAAAAAAAAAAAAAAGGAAAGAAACTCTACTCAGAAGGGATAAGGAAAAACAGAGTATCATAAAGTACAACCCACAACTTGATCTCCAGAAGAGTGGCAGAGGTCAAGTCAGTGTCTCGTTAGGAAGAGTCACATTTTAATTTTTAACAAATGATATCATAGATATTCTTTATCTTTGTCCGTAAACAATAACTAGTACTCACTGA